TTCTTGTCGCTATTTCTAGAGAAGTGTTTGATGAAACCTTCTCAGATTCCATACATTGATTTGTCTTGGTCCTTATTTTTGCATAATTCATTTTGGGATAATTGGAAAAACAAGATGGTTAACAGGCAGCCATCTTGATTTTTGACTGTCATAGATTGTTATCAATATTTCGTGGAAAGTGTCTGGTGGATCATTCTCCTATTTCATACGCAAGTTTGCCTTGGTCATTGGTTGTGAAAAGCCAGTTATTTGCCAACAGGTGGCAATCTTGGCTTTAAACAATTATTATTTGTTATCACTTTGCCCATTGGTCCCTAGTTGTTTCTTTTTTCTTATCAAAAGAACAAAATGGCTGACATGTGGTCATCTTGAATTTTCACTTTCAAAATTTGCTATCACGAGTTCTTGATGGATCTTTCCCAAATTTCATATGAATGTTCCCTTTGGTCTGTGTGCTCTTGGTATTCGGACAGACTTGAAAAATATGGCAGACAGGCGACCATCTTGGTATTGACTCTGGAAATTTGTTATTGCTATTTCTTGAAAAGAAAGAATGGATATTTCTCAAAGTTTCTATGAATGTAGGCTCCAAGTTGTTTTTTCGTTTTTCCGGCTCCCGTTTTACATCTCACTTTTTATTTCCGGTGTTTGAGAAATGATGGACACACCATCTGGTTTTACACGAACTCTGTGTCTGCCGATCTTTTTAGGTTAAAAATCAATAAAACTTTATATCATATCGTAAATCAACATTGTAGCTTTTGAAATAACGCTATTCTGTGACAGGAAAACAATGCTTTTTCATCACATTGTACTTTTCATATTCTGATTCAGTCGGTCGTTTTTTGTTTTATATTCGTTTTGTATTTGCAGTTTCCACTCCATCTCAAGGGAAGCCAGCGTCGCAATTGAAGAAAGGTTGTTTGTGCATTGTGTGTGTTATTTGTTATCATCGCGGTAGAGTGATTTCAATTTGGGTAAAGACAAACAGACAGACATCATTTTAATATCGAGTGTTTTGTTGGGTTTTTTACATGTCATTGTCACGCTAAATAAATACAGCGTGTGAAATTCTGACAACTAGGGAAACGATGGGCTATAGACATGTTGGTTTTAAAGATCGACACGGCCTTTCAAATTGTTTTTGTAAACAACAATTCGAGAACGCAAGAACGAAATAAAAACAACAATAAAAGCGTTTAATCTATCGCGAAATCATGAGGCTTGCCAATCTGATCCAACTAACTACAGCTATAAAATACACAGCGGGTTCATTCCTGCAGGTTACAATCAAACCGAACTTTATGACAACTAATTGTGCTGTGTTACTGTCGAGGCTTTCCGTCCAATACACGATTACTCTCTCACTGGAGATAATAACTGCACATATCGGACAACGCACCAACATTCTAAACCATCAAAGACATCACCGTCACAATCTGAAAATGGTATCACTGTCAAACGCCGGTAGTATTCAAACACATAAAGGTCGCCTACGTCACAGGAAATGATGCTCCACGTCACCGTATCGCGTGAACAAAAATGATTCCAACACCATGCGAACATTCCACACGAAAAAAAGGGCACGCGCAATAATTTAACATGTGAAAGACGTCAGCGTAACACATGCACATTTAACACGTGAAAGGACGGGAGTGTAATACATGCACATTTAACATGTGAAAGGATACCGCTGTCCATTTTAAAATTTAATATGTGAAGGACGCCACTTGAACATTTAACCGATTGAAAAATGCACCTTCACTCGTGATTATTTCAGCTCACCAGTCGAAACTCTTTACCTTTTTATCGTCCGGAAATCTGAATGTTTTGTCACATATCAAATGACAACATATCACATACACACGATGTAATGTATAACAATCCATATTTAACGTGACACAGTCTACCGCTAGCATGTCGTAATTCATTACTGCATGTGCATCGTGATGTCGAAGATATTTTTCATTTGTCGCTCCAGATGCGGATCGCGTTTTCAGTTGATTTTTGTCTCTAGCAGGTTCGCTGTTACACTGAGGCACGATAAGGATTCCCCTAGTAGAAATAATTCTTCCTCCGAGTGTTATGGGGTCGCTTACATCATTTTTTTATCAACAAATGTAGTTCACGTTGTAGTTATTTCCCAGCCGATCAAACTTTTGAGAGTGAAAAAATTAAATAAAAAATTAAGTATCTTTTATTGTGTGTATTTAGTGTCGTATGTAAACAACATTATCTGTGGTAAATGTGTCGTTCCTTTGTGTCGTATGTAAACAACATTATCTGTGGTAAATGTGTCGTTTCTTTGTGTTGTATGTAAACAACATTATCTGTGGTAAATGTATCGTTCCTTTGTGTCGTATGTAAACAACATTATCTGTGGTAAATGTATCGTTCCTTTGTGTCGTATGTAAACAACATTAGCTGTGGTAAATGTATCGTTCCTTTGTGTCGTATGTAAACAACATTAGCTGTGGTAAATGTATCGTTCCTTTGTGTCGTATGTAAACAACAGTATCTGTGGTAAATGTATCGTTCCTTTTTGTCGTATGTAAACAACATTATCTGTGGTAAATGTATCGTTCCTTTGTGTTGTATGTAAACAACATTATCTGTGGTAAATGTGTCGTTCCTTTGTGTCGTATGTAAACAACATTATCTGTGGTAAATGTATCGTTCCTTTGTGTCCGCTCCTTTTTGTCGTATGTAAACAACATTATCTGTGGTAAATGTATCGTTCCTTTGTGTCGTATGTAAACAACATTATCTGTGGTAAATGTATCGTTCTTTTGTGTCGTATGTAAACAAAATTATCTGTGGTAAATGTATCGTTCCTTTGTGTCCGCTCCTTTTTGTCGTATGTAAACAACATTATCTGTGGTAAATGTATCGTTCCTTTGTGTCGTATGTAAACAACATTATCTGTGGTAAATGTATCGTTCCTTTGTGTCGTATGTAAACAACATTATCTGTGGTAAATGTATCGTGTCGCATGCTAACGCTAAATGTTTACACGGCTGTGTTGGGAGTTGATTTTAGAAAACGAATTTTCATGATAGAGGGTCTATTTATCTCACGCTGATAATACAAGGATTGTACAAAATACATACAAGTGAATTTAACCTTTCTATACAAATTTTGAGTTAGGTGCAGTAGCCAAACAATGGTACAGCTGTTTCGCTTCTTTTGGACGCGTCAGCGATGACAGGAAACTAATATTCATGAAAAATAAAGATAAGGAATTTGTATACCTCAGTAATTTTGGTGATATTTATACTTATTTCAAAATGGTGTATATTCTGTAGCACTGTTCTAATGAATTAAACTGCAGCAAAAAGGGACTGTAGCAAACTTCGGGATCTGAAGTCCACTAACAGGGACTTAACGGTAAGTGGAAAGTATGATCGATACCATTGATAGGTGGTGTTTTCTTTTTAAGTTTGGAAGTAGAATTTAAAATTTTGACATGGTCGTTCGTAACTGAACAAGAGGAAATGTCAATTTAAGCAACTCAGAAAGATCAAATAAGAGAAAATATGAACAAATGAAAAATTTACATGGAAACGCCTGAAAAAGTAAAAGGCAGATGTCCCGGGAAAGTAAGCATCTTGGGCTTCATCGACGACCCAACAGGTAAATTTTGGTCAATGCAAGTAAATAATGCCATGTTCCCATATAAAGTTTATAACAGCGAGGTCATCAAATGTATTTACGATCATCGTATACTTCTAACCATATTTCCGAATGTAAGTGATACCAAACGCCCCCTGCAGCTCTCGAAACCCTATGTTGTAAGATCTGGTAAGACCCAAAGCTTTCGTCAGCACAGGTTAGAAGAGGTATCGATAGCATTCTTTAGAAATCGAAAACTCACGATAGGGAAATCGATATCATCACGCTATTAAAATCTTTGCAACTTGGTGTCAAACTGTCCTTGTTTGTTGCGTTGTGGCCTTGTAGGTAAAACTTGATATGTCGTGTCCTTGATGGTTATGCATAGATACGTTATATTTATACTCATTATAATTCTATATTATTCTAAGTTCTAGTTGTATTTTATTTCAAAGAGAATAGTACGCCCGACAAGCAAAGCTGATGTAAAATCTTTCCTAGAAATCCAGCATTGGTCGGAAACTAACAATTAAGGCAGCCAAGAGAGCGGCGTTCATCTCAGCACGTGCATTAATTCGATAGAATCACTTTCTGAAATTACCAACTCATTACATTGAACAATAAAAATAACTGTTGAAATAAACGATTGTATATGTTGTAATGAACCAGGTTATTAACGAAAATTCATAAAATCGCTGTCATACTTGTTAAAGTTTGGAACTATACTTCTTCTCGGAGCAATCATTTTGGCGTATGTCATCAGGCAAAATTCCATATCATGTATGACTCATCCAACAAGTTACGTCATTTATATAGGATTGAAGGGAAGTTTACGGAGATTGTGAGGATACTGACTGTAAACAAGGACACAAACAAACCACCTATATACACAAATTAAAATTTAATCAAGCATTCAATCAAGTAAACTTTTGTTAAATGACGTAGTTTTGAATTTGAATTTCCTTTATTTGGACAGATGATCAGAACGCTTTGATACACTCTCGTTCATTTCTTCAAGCTTGTCATGGGGTGAAATTTTCAACGTTGGTGATGCTGCCTAATTTATATTTTTACATTAAGTGACCATTTACGTCGGCCGGCATATAGTTTCGACTGGGTTAGTTTTACAGTTGTATCACTGACAGCGCCATTATCCAGTAAATGATATACAACAAACAATACCACAGGTAGACACGTTCTTGTCAGTTACTGTCCAGAGCTAGGGGTGACCATGAATAGAAAATAAATTGAATTGAATTGTGAAAGGTGAGCTTTATCGAGAGCAAATGCTCAGAACAACAACCTATAGAAATCATTAATAAAATATTTCCTTCCAGATTTATATGACAACTGTACACAAATATTTCAAAAATTAAATTGCAATATACACCCTTGTTTCTAACATGGTACTGTTCACGCAGATACAATTATGCAATTATCGATACATTACTTAGAGTGTTACCAGTTCTTGGACTTCCCCATGAACAAGGACCCGTAACGCTTTCGTCCGCCATTCCTTGACATGAATAATGTACCATATCTTTTTTCAACCTGTTCTGCTCCCTCATCGCCAAAAAATGGTTCGTTTTCGTCCTGGTAATCATCTGATCGCTTGCCGTAGCGACCGTACCTGTATTTTAGTCCGCGCCCGCTTCCCAGGTTCAGTGTTCCGTAGCGTTTGTCCATTGAGTCTTCGGCACTGTCGTCTTCGCGCTTAATGGCGCTTCCATATCGATACCGCAGGCCTTTACCACTTCCCATGTTGAGTGTGCCGTACCGTTTACCTCGGTAGCCGTACCTGTAGCCACCCTTGTTCCGCCTGCCGCCAAGGAACAGCATCCCGTACCGTTTGCGTGGATATCCATATCTTGATGAACCCATGAATGTCGTTCCAAATCTCTTAGCTACGCCGGGATATTCAACGTCGCCCATTTCTGTGCTAACATCGTTTGGTATATCTTCACTATTGTCCGATCCCGTGATGCTATATGCATCCATAAGGCAAGCGTCCGTGTTACCCACACATCGCTCACACACGTCATACGCTTTATCCTCCATACAACATGTCGTTAGTTGCACAGCGATTTCCTCCGGAAGTCGTGAGCACCGGAAACAGATACCAGCTACATCCAGGTCTTTATCACATCGCGTGCCCTCTGACGTGTCACTGACAGGAATGGATACTTCTTTTTCTGCTGTGACGCAGGCAACGACGGAGACCAACACAACGACTCCGATGGTTCGCAACATCTAAAACACCGAAAAAAAAACGAGCAATGAAACAGTTTCATAGAAAAGTGCTAAGATTTCACAGTTACCGATACAAATATAAGGCCAGTGACTATTTATATGAAACATAGATAGGAATCAGACGTGGGCAGTGTACTAAAACGTTCTTTTTAGTCTTTCTTTTCTTATTTTTTTAAAATGTGACAATACGGTATAAACTTGAATATAAACTGATCATGCAGCCATAAAAGATAAAAAAGATCTCACCTAGCCATTGAACGTTTTTGGTGAGAAAACAAAAATCGATATGTCTTTGTCTAATCAAGGAGGACGAAAATACTGAACGATGGCATGAAAAGGATTGGCGCACAACTTCCTGTCAAACATGTATGTCAACAAACGACATTGATGAAATAGCCTGAATGATTTTTCCATGTTCAAATCGAATCTATGAATAAAAACTCGAGGAGAATAGCCGTAGTTATTTTCTACTGGACGAGTATCGTGTCTTTAAGAATTTGTTTCACGCACGTGCGGTAATACTATGACGCCATTGCTGATTACCACCACGGTGTGACGTCATACCTCTAGTACCGATATCTTGTCGGAAGTGATTGGCCTTGGTAAGTCACAGGTAAGTTATAAAGTCTAAGACAGATTTACTTATATATTCACAAAGCCCCGGGCTTTCTGGATACAGCGGATTTATGATGTCACGGAAATAGAGCAAATGCAGGTTGATGCGGGCCCGATTTCCCCGTCTGGAAATGTTCTTGTCGCGAAATGAAATCATGCAGGGATCATGTTGGTATTTCATCAGGTAGTCTCATTTCTACTAAGCCTATTATACTCTGGGATCGGTGATCTCCGACGAAAAAAAATCTCTGTGAATCCGACAAATTTCTAAATATGTTGTACTTTTTCTAGGTTCACAATATACACTTGTTTATACAATAAATAAACGGCCCAGCACCAGGCCTCGGCCGATTGATTGGTTATGAATGTCACTAAAATCGTTTTGTTGGCGTTCCCTTTGATGGTGACTAATATTACAAGTAATCAGAATGGCGAGGACCCGATATCTTGGAATCAGTATTCTACAAACACTCAATACATCGTGGAATGTTCGACTCTATCATAAATTGATTCCTGTCCGGATATATTTTGACCGTTTTGCAGTTTTAGACATCAAAGGAAGTGACAAGGAAGTAACACATATAACAAATGACTTAATTGTCCCCGAACAACAGAAAGTCGAGAGAACGAGAAGGCAGACAAAGGCTGTAGAGAACCAGTGGGAACAGTTGCATAACGGGGACTGCCATGATTCCCAACAGGCCATTAATATGTCGGACGTATAATCGTCTTATTAGCATGTAATTCTCGTTTACACTATTCACTCTACAACTACCAGCATCGTTAATGTAGGAGAGAGGTAACTCGTTTTTAGTGATGGAAAAAATGTGTGCTGTGTAGAGGTATCATGGGTATAGTGTTTTGTAGTGAGTAAAATATGGGTGTGATGGTGTGTAGTAAATGGTTGGGGTGGTGCGTTGTTGGTAGTATATGGTTGGGTGATGTGTTGTGGGTAGTATATGGTTGGGGTGGTGTGTTGTGGGTAGTATATGGTTGGGGTGGTGTGTAGTGGGTAGTATATGGTTGGGTTGGTGTGTAGTGGGTAGTATATGGTTGGGGTGATAAACTGTTGGTAGTATATGGTTGGGGTGATAAACTGTTGGTAGTATATGGTTGGGGTGGTGTGGTGTGTAGTATATGGTTGGGGTGGTGTGTTGTGGGTAGTATATGGTTGGGGTGGTGTGTAGTGGGTAGTATATGGTTGGGGTGGTGTGTTGTTGGAAGTACATGGTTGGGGTGGTGTGTAGTACATGGTTGGGGTGGTGTGTTGTTTGTAGTATATGGTTGGGGTGGTGTGTAGTGTGTAGTATATGGTTGGGGTGGTGTGTTGTTGGAAGTACATGGTTGGGGTGGTGTGTAGTACATGGTTGGGGTGGTGTGTTGTTTGTAGTATATGGTTGGGGTGGTGTGTAGTATATGGGTTAGGTGGTATGTTGTTGGTAGTATGTGGTTGGGGTAATGTGTAGTGGGTAGTATATGGTTGGGGTGGTGTGTAGTGGGTAATATATGGTTCGGGTGATAAACTGTTGGTAGTATATGGTTGGAGTAATATGTAGTGGGTAGTATATGGTTGGGGTGGTATGTAGTGTGTAGTATATGGTTGGGGTGGTGTGGTGTGTAGTATATGGTTGGGGTGGTGTGTAGTGTGTAGTATATGGTTGGGGTGGTGTGTAGTGTGTAGTATATGGTTGGGGTGGTGTAGTGTGTAGTATATGGTTGAGGTGGTGTGTAGTGTGTAGTATATGGTTGGGGTGGTGTGGTGTGTAGTATATGGTTGGGGTGGTGTGGTGTGTAGTATATGGTTGGGGTGGTGTGTAGTGTGTAGTATATGGTTGGGGTGGTGTGTAGTGTGTAGTATATGGTTGGGGTGGTGTGTAGTGTGTAGTATATGGTTGGGTTGGTGTGGTGTGTAGTATATGATTGGGGTGGTGTGGTGTGTAGTATATGGTTGGGGTGGTGTGTAGTGTGTAGTATATGGTTGGGGTGGTGTGTAGTGTGTAGTATATGGTTGGGGTGGTGTGGTGTGTAGTATATGGTTGGGGTGGTGTGGTGTGTGTACATGTATATGGTTGGGGTGGTGTGTAGTGTGTAGTATATGGTTGGGGTGGTGTGTAGTGTGTAGTATATGGTTGGGGTGGTGTGTGTGTAGTATATGGTGTGGGGTGGTGTGGTGTGTAGTATATGGTTGGGGTGGTGTGTAGTGTGTAGTATATGGTTGGGGTGGTGTGGTGTGTAGTATATGGTTGGGGTGGTGTGTAGTGTGTAGTATATGGTTGGGGTGGTGTGTAGTGTGTAGTATATGGTTGGGGTGGTGTGGTGTGTAGTATATGGTTGGGGTGGTGTGGTGTGTAGTATATGGTTGGGGTGGTGTGTAGTGTGTAGTATATGGTTGGGGTGGTGTGTAGTGTGTAGTATATGGTTGGGTTGGTGTGGTGTGTAGTATATGATTGGGGTGGTGTGGTGTGTAGTATATGGTTGGGGTGTAGTGTGTGTGTGTAGTATATGGTGTGGTGATGTGTAGTGTGGTGTGAAGTATATGGTTGGGGTGGTGTGGTGTGTAGTATATGATTGGGGTGGTGTGTAGTGGGTATTACATGGTTGGGGTGGTGTGTTGTTTGTAGTATATGGTTGGGGTGGTGTGTAGTGGGTAGTACATGGGTGTGGTGATGTCTAGTACATGGGTGTGGTGATGTCTAGTACATGGGTGTGGTGATGTGTAGTGGGTAGCACATGGGTGTGGTGATGTGTAGTGGGTAGTACATGGGTGTGGTGATGTGTAGTGGGTAGTACATGGGTGTGGTGATGTGTAGTACATGGGTGTGGTGATGTGTAGTACATGGGTGTGGTGATGTGTAGTACATGGGTGTGGTGATGTGTAGTACATGGGTGTGGTGATGTGTAGTGGGTAGTACATGGGTGTGGTGATGTGTAGTGGGTAGTACATGGGTGTGGTGATGTCTAGTACATGGGTGTGGTGATGTGTAGTGAGTAGTACATGGGTGTGGTGATGTCTAGTGCATAGGTGTGGTGATGTCTAGTACATGGGTGTGGTGATGTCTAGTACATGGGTGTGGTGATGTCTAGTACATGGGTGTGGTGATGTGTAGTATATGGGTGTGGTGATGTGTAGTACATGGGTGTGGTGATGTGTAGAACATGGGTGTGGTGATGTGTATTACATGGGTGTGGTGATGTGTAGTACATGGATGTGGTGATATCTAGTACATGGATGTGGTGATATCTAGTACATGGGTGTGGTGATGTGTAGTACATGGGTGTGGTGATGTGTAGTACATGGGTGTGGTGATGTGTAGTACATGGGTGTGGTGATGTGTAGTACATGGGTGTGGTGATGTGTAGTACATGGGTGTGGTGATGTGTAGTACATGGGTGTGGTGATGTGTAGTACATGGGTGTGGTGATGTGTAGTACATGGGTGTGGTGATATGTAGTACATGGGTGTGGTGATGTGTAGTACATGGGTGTGGTGATGTGTAGGGATATTGGCTGATTATATATATATATAATATAATATGACTGGTCGTATATGTAGGGTTGAACAATTGATGACGCGACATCGTGAGGAAATTCCAGAAAGCGCCGTGGAAAATAATCACTTATACTTTTTTTGTTACAATGTTTATTTAACAGTCTTAGATACCGTTACCTTGGAAACATGACCATTGTTTTCTGAGATTTTGAAAATTAGATATGTCTGTTGGTACCTATGTCCTTGAAATACTATCATGAAGCAATGTCATGTATCATGTCCCACCATATAACAATGATATGTAGCTTTCTTTTGTTCTATCATGTACACAGCGGCTCTAAACATATCCGTTTGCTCTTCTGACCTTAGCATTCTTGCACTCGATGATGCAATGGTGTATATGGTTATGTCAGTCCACAGATAGATTAACGATGAAGTGAAATGTTTACTGCCATGTTGGTCGCGATTAACTTTCCAGACAGGAATCAGAACCGGAAATGACCTTACATGTGAAAACTTTCTGATATCAGTTGATCAATAGCGACGAGAGGACTTAATCATTCGTCGGTCATTACGTTTAGATAGTCATCTTTAAATTAACTGTCGCCCAATCATCGAACCGATAATGGCGGGAAGTGGTCACGTGACCTCTCATTGGGAATTAGTCAAGAAAATGGCGCATGTTATCGTTAAGTTTGCCGTGTTAGTGAGGAAATGGGGAAATAACGTAAAAATCTCATTTCCGTGTAGTCTGAAAGCAGTTCAACACGAAGGTAATAGATTGATATGTCTTTGGTGCTAGATTGGTTTTCTATGAATGGAATTAAAAACCATATCTAAAACATGCTTAAAGTGGATTACAAGATTTAGATCGATATTGTAAATGAGGGCACCT